TATTAATCTCTTTATTTCTAAACTATCAGTGGGAAACATAACCATAGAGTATGTAGTGGAAAAACTTACTGGGTTGAATTCAGCATTTATAGGTATTTTATTTGCTAATTGACTTCCTATTTTCGCGAAAATTGAATTAAATTGGTTTGCTATGGCTTTGCTCTCTGTTATTGGGTCTCCGTTTAAATCGTTTATAGAATTTACAGTTTTGTTATTTTTTTTGCAGTCTGTCAGTTCCTGAATTACATTCCATAAACATCTAGTGTCATTTTGATTATCGTATATTTTACTTTTATAGTAATCATATTTGGCTTTTTTTATTAAAAGAGTTAATCTGTTCCTGAATATTTTATATTCTATTTTTTTTCGAACATCATTTGAATTATTTTGTAGGTCTCTAAACATGGTATTCTTTTTATGAACAGATTTTACTAATTTATTCGTAATCCAAGGTGATAGTTTTGTATTTTTTCTTCTTATTTTAATTGTTGTCGTGGTCTGCTCAATTACTTTAGATAAAACATTAATAAATTTATTTATTGCGGAATCTGCATCAGTTTCAGTATAAATAGAATCCCAAGAGACCTTATGGATTATATTTAGTAACTTATCATTATTAATTTTCTCAATATAAATTGGATTTTTTTTGGTTTGTTCAGAAGACCCCATTATAATTTGTAACACTGTCGTAAAATGATCAGTAGTATTTGTTTGTATGACTATAGGCATTAGTAGGTCATAGTTGTTTAATTTTGATTTAATAAATATGTGGTCGAGACAGGATGTTGTGTTTCCCTGTATTCTTGTATAATTATTGATTGCCGAAATAAATCCGAATTCATTTAAAGTATTTAGATATTCTATACTGTAATTGTTTTTGTCAAGAATATCAATGTTTATGTCTCCAATAAAAATACTATAATCCGATAGACCATGTTGATTATTTTGCAGATGGGTTTGTAAATTCATAATAAAGGTGTTTATATCCGTAGCCGGAGGTCGATACAAGGCAGTAATAGTTACAAGCTCTCTAGAGTGTAGCTTAAGATTTACAACAACCATATTTAAATCATCAACAGGTATAATAGAATAAGAATAGTCGACGTTTTCTTTAATATATACTACAACACCATCGTTTTGATTTATTTTTCCGTTATTATATATCAAGCAATAGCCTTCAATATTGTATAAATCTATGCAATTAATTTGCCATGTTTCGGTCAATACTATACAATCAATGTCACTATCCAAATTAGACAAAAAAATCATGAATTCATCCAAATTCTTATTTATGCTCCTTATATTATTGTGCAGAATTTTGAAGTTATTTACATTTTTATTTATTGCGAGTATGGATCTACATTCAGAACAATCCAACAAAGTATAAGTTTCTATCTCTTTTATTTCAAAATCTCTAATATATTGATCCATAGAGGTTTAAGTTTAAACATGGATATAATAAACAAACAGAATAGATATAGGTACTTAAAAACAAATTACATAGATAATAGATAAAGGATAGGAGATATAGATAAAAAAAAAATATTATTTGTTTACAGAATTTGATCTTAAATTTTTATTACGGAGTTTTACTACCTGAGATGATATCTGAGTTTCCGATCTCTTTCTATTCTTTGGTGTTGCAATTCTTGTTAATTCATCAGTTATCGTTGGGAATTCCCGAAAAGAAGTGGTAGGTTCTGAAACTTTTTCTTCTACTGATGCAAATTTATCTTTTCTGTGTTGAGCTATTTGACTAGGAGTAGCAGGGGCACTTTGAGATTTTTCTTCTATTAAAATTTCTTCTTGGTTATCTTGTTCTATAAGTTGCTCTGCAGTGTAAATCTCGCCATTTACATGCAGTTTATTGTGTTTTATAAAACAATTATTGTCACTAGATTGCTTCGCAACTGCTAGGTGTTTCCTTAGTACTTTATTCTGTTCACGTTGCAGAGGTGTAAGATCGTTTGCAATATATATGTTAGTCCCTTTCAGTTTTGGACAAGCTCTTAGTATTTCTAACTTTTTAAGATAGGAAATCAGTTCCAGTTTGATCGGACTATCTTTATTTTTTCCCAGAGTGTATAGATTGTTAATATCAGCTTCTTTCAAATTTACATCAAATATTGTGTTCAGTTCACTAATAAAGGAGTGAGAAGTAAAATTCTGGTTTACTTTATTAAACCCGAAGATTATTAAATTATTTTTCTTACTTACTCTAATAATTCAGCTTTGTCTTGTAAAAGTAAGTTCTGGTTTTCTAACTTAGTCACTCTTACTTTTAAATCTTCGAGTTTTAGAAGAATTTTTGTTTCTGTAGCTTCTATATAATTTTTAATGGATGTTCTATTATTAATCACTTCTTCATATATTTTATTTATCGATATATTTATATCTTCTGTCATGCTGACAAACTGAGAAGTGTAGTGTATGTATTGCTTTAGACCTGTGTTTCTTGCTCGACAAAAACTGAATATACAAAAAATACGAGTCTCTCTAGTAAATTAAGGTTAGCTTAGGTCTTTCCCGTATTCTATTAATTATTAAAGGATGCCATCTTACTCACTGGTTTTAGATGCCTTCTTACTCACTGGTTGTAGTAGCGGTTTACTTGTTGACTATGTAAGTTTTATATAATATATTTATATATCACACTTCAGAAATAACTTATAATTTTGAGAGCACCATTTTAGGTATGTACAACTTAGGCGATCCACACACAGTTATAAAATTCTATTTTTGACATAAATGTAATTAATTTTGTATTATAGTAATAATTTAATTAATCTTAAATGCATTTTGTAATGGTGCTGTAATACAAAAAAGTGTGTAAGCCGAAAATATGAATGACAAAATGAAATTTAAGAAATAGACAACATTTGAAATAATAGTTTGAGTTAACAGTGAAAATACACTTTTTTCTAACCGAATCGATTTAAGAAGCTATAATCCAATAAAGTTGTGCTCGGCTTATAGGGACCGCAAAATAAATCTAAACAGGATATTTTTTTTCAGGGTTACTTGGGGACTGCCTCCTGAGTATCCGACCAAAAGATCACACTCCTGGTACGACTTGCGCTATAGGGATGGTTTCCTAAACATTTTTTTAGAGCAAATTGACCTTAATAAAATTGTAGAGGATTAAATTTTGAACAATTTTTTCTTATAAATTTTTTTGTATTTCTAATACTTAACGAGCTACTGCGCATTATTTGAAAAAAAAAAAATTTGCACGCTGAGGAAGAAATGAATTCACCTGACCCTTCCAGAAAAAGAGGACCATTAAACCGAGTTGATGACTTTCATGCAGATCGTGAAATAGGCTTAAATAAATGCGCTGTAACTTGTTAAGTAGTGGAGATAATAAAAAATTTTATAAAGCGAAATTGTAGAACATTTATTCCTCTCTTACTTTTATTAATGTTATTTTAAAAATAATGTTTACAAGACCTACCAGTCCTGTGGTAAACGAATTAATTTTTTGTCATAAAATGCGCAGTAACTCGTTGAGTATTAGAGTACAAAAAAATTTTGTACAGAAGAGTTGTTCAAAATTTGGTCCTCTACAACTTTTATGGAAGTCAGTTTCTTGTAAAAACATGTTTACAAGACCACCCCTGCGGCGTGCACAATTTTTGTCACATAATGCGCAGTAACTCGTTAAGGATTAGACATACAAAAAAAAATTATACAGTAAAGTTCTTTAAAATGTTATCCTCTACAACTTTTATTAAGGTCATTTTGCTTTAAAAAAATGTTTATGAAACCACCCCCATAGCGCAAGTTGTACCATAAGTTCGAGTGTGATCGTTTTAGTTGGATACTCAGGAGGCAGTCCTCAAACAACCCTGAAAAATCATCCTGTTTGGATTTTTTTTATAAAGTGATATCTTTAATGGATTAATAAGATCATTAAATTTTCACATGATATGAATTTTTGTTATAAAAGAAATATTGATTACTTACACACTTACAGTATGTTATAATATTATTAACTCACCTTAGCCTAGAATTCCAGATCTATTCCGACAGTCAGAATACAATGAACCGATGAAATATATCTAAATTAAAACCGTGCGACCGACAACTGATTTTGCACTAACGTGTTCGCTACAACACAAACAAATTAACTTAGAAAGAAACCGTACAAACGAACTGTGTATTTGCCGGACTTAAGTTAATAACTTAAAGTTATGTTTAATAAAAGGAATTAAAAGTAGCTACCGTATATCACAAAACCATGACCTGTTTATTTATATATTGACAGTCAAGGTTAATTGACTGAACGTACTTAACCGGCTTTATTGTTACAGCACGCTTCTAGGATGCGCGGGCAGATTCACTTTATCGCCTTATATTAGGTCGCCACAGCGCTGCCAAGATTGAACGAATTTCCTGATATGTAAAGAAATTAAACAATGCACAATTAAATATCAAAGTGAAATATGAGTTATGAATGTTAATATACAAGGTGTTCTACAAGCTCTATGACATACTTTTGTAAACATCCCTGAAGGAGTTGTTATAATATAAAAATGAAATAAAAGATTTCATTTAAAAAAAAGAAAGCTTGGTACAATTTTATGTCTGTGTTATACTTAACAGAGTCAATGAATGAATGAATCCCAGTGCAACTTAAATCAAGGTTACCACTCTGAGATTTTATTTTATATAAACAAAGATATGTATAACAAACTTATCGACGAGCCCGCAGGAACCAAAACTGCTGATCAAACCTTCATAGTCCGCAAGGTCATCGCTAAAGCGCCAAATAGCCAACACTTTGACGGACGGTAGCTGGATTCATTTCAAATATTTTTCTTATACAGGGTGTCCCAAAAGCGACGCCCGTCCTTCTGGGATTTGATTAAGGGGACAAAAGCAAATCGAAAATCAAGAGTGGGAAATTTTCCGATTGTTTTTCTTTGTTAAGTTATTCTGTGCTTATAGGATTTTTAATCAGAGGACTGATTCTTGGTTGCTCTATTACTTCGATAATAACAGCCTGAATAAAAACTACTGCATTTTCAATATTCCTATAATTTTGCTACAAACTACATTTCAAATACACCAATTATTACACTTAGCTGCATTATTAATAATAATACAAAGAATTATGTAAGCGGTACAAGACTAGCGTTTGGAATTTCAACATAGCCGGCCAGCCTTAGACGACTTTGTTTGGGTTATAAGTAATGAATAGGCGCTATTTCAATATAAACATTGTGATTTGGAAGCGGACAGAATACTCCTGAGACAGACATTCATTAATATACTGTTAACATGTTAACACGCTGTGAATTACTCTTCCCCTATTATATTACCAGTTTTTACTTTAATTGTTTAGTATTTAATTTTCTTACATCTCAGAAGTGGGATAAAGAACAAATACAAACGTTAAATAAACANACATCGAAATTTTCACACCGTTGTTTAGATAATTATCACTGTCATCAATTTCGAACGAAAAAAATATGCGTTGTCATTTAAAAAAAAATTATGTCGCTGACGTAAGTGGATTATCGAAAAAAAAAAATTTCCACATAACAAGGTGCCCTGGATCAAATAAAAATCGACAGGTCTCACCATTTTCGAAAAAAAAGTTGTTTAACGAAAATATGAATTTTATGCAGAACTTTTTTACCACGCTGTATATTTATTACCTTTCGCCCCCCCAAGAAAAAGATAACGTTGATTTTGTGCGTATTATGTTGCATTCATGACTACCTTTATTATTTTAATGGCACATTCATTTTTCACATGAGCTATTCTTCACATATCACTTGTATAACAGATTTCGTTTATCTTATCTTTACTGCCGTTGCCACACACCAATTTTTTCAAACAGATTTAGAGTGACAACATAAACACCTATTAAGCCTTTTTTATACATATAGGGCAGTAACATTCTTTTTTATCTTAACTATTAATATTATTTAACCAGAGTAAGTATTTCAAATAGTTTATTTTTAAGCAGTCGACTACTACACTTTTTTGATGTATTGGGATTTGATCCAAATAAATTTAATTTAATTTGAAAACGTATATTCTATTATCAACTTTTTTATTTTTTACGCTATTTTAAAGCCATTAAGCTAACTTTATTTTTTTATTTTTTTTTAATTTATACCTTTAAAACAAAGTAAATAAAATTGTTAAAGATGTTATCTCTACGTACTTCAAATTAGTCAAAGAAAATTAATTAAACATATAAATGTGTAAACTTAATTTTGGGAAACTTCAATTATATTTTAAAAGGAGCAAATTGTTTTTCGGAACATTATTTACATTGAGAAATTATCAGATATATTTATGACAGTTAATAATAAACTATAGTGATAGAATAATTAAACTTATTCTTTTTCATATCAATGTTAAAATATAGTTTGCCTTAAATTGTGCAAACGAAAGACAATTTCCACCGAAATAAAGTTCGTCCATATGAGAACGTAGTATAAACCCTAACTCATTTTAATTTTGATTTTTTGAAACACTTTTGATGAATTTCGAAGCACACTAATACATATGACATTTTGTCGTATACAAATTACTATAATCTACATTTTGTGAATTAAAACTGGCTGTTCTGAAAATTGAGTCAGAAATACGTATACGTCCGTGCGATATTTGTTGAGATAAAATTCCAAGAAGACCCCTGTGCCACTTTTTTGGAATTAACCGCATTGGACACCTGAGGGAGAAAGACATTGGCGGCGTGGCGTTCACCGTAGCTGCTTGCAGTACATACTGTGTTTTGCAGTTATGAAGGCGTGTTTCTTCGGAAGTTTTATGCATTTTCAATGTATTTAATTTAATTCCCAGTCGAAGAGTATCGTGTATGTTATTTTAAGACAATTTTTTCAAATGAAAATAAAATACATAAAATTAAAAAACCGTGTTTTAGCTGCTACAGGAGTATCTCCAGCCATTATAGGGAGAATCTTAAGTGAAAGTGTCGAGTTACAAGATGGTGATGGTGAAGTAAAATTTAGTTCTCCTAAAAAAACGCAAGAGAATATGTACAAAATCCAACGTACCAGAATAGGAACAAATGTATATTAGAAACATGATCTATAATTTTCACAAAACGGAAGGATGTCGAGTTACTCTGACACAATTACAATAAAAAATGAACTATTTGGAAATATGGAAAAATCTTTAATATTCTGAAAATAACACGAAAAATTTCAAGGCACGCCCCTGCCGCGGTAAATTGTTATAGTAGTTTCGATAACGGAATTTTATTGGCTTATTATATCTCAACAAATATTATGGGGACTGCCATTTTTTAAAATACAAATGTAAAGTGTCGTTTCTATTTATAGTTATAATAATAATAAT